TGTGGTGCGTGTGTGGCGTATGAGGGTGGTGTGTGTGTGTTTGGTGCGTGTGCGGTATATGAGTGTGGTATGTGTCTGTTTGGTGCATGTGTGGTGTATGAGTGTGGTGTGTGTGTGTGTGTGGTGCGTGTGTGGCGTATGAGGGTGGTGTGTGTGTGTTTGGTGCGTGTGCGGTATATGAGTGTGGTATGTGTGTGTTTGGTGCGTGTGTGATGTATGAGTGTGGTGTGTGTGTGTTAGGTGCGTGTGTGGTGTCAAGTGTGGTGTGTGTGTGTTTGGTGCATGTGTGGTGTATGAGTGTGGTGTGTGAGTGTGTGTGTGTGGCGCGTGTGTGGCATATGAGGGTGGTGTGTGTGTGTTTGGTGCGTGTGCGGTATATGAGTGTGGTATGTGTGTGTTTGGTGCGTGTGTGGTGTATGAGTGTGGTGTGTGTGGTGTATGAGTGTGGTGTGTGTGGTGCGTGTGTGGTGTATGAGTGTGCTGTGTGTGGTGTATGAGTGTGGTGTGTGTGGTGAATGAGTGTGTGTGGTGTCAAGTGTGGTGTGTGTGTGTTAGGTGCGTGTGTGGTGTCAAGTGTGGTGTGTGTGTGTTTGGTGCATGTGTGGTGTATGAGTGTGGTGTGTGTGTGTTAGGTGCGTGTGTGGTGTAGTGTGTGGTGTATGAGTGTGGTGCGTGTGTGGTGTGTGAGTGTGGTGTGTGGTGTGTGTGATGAGTGTGGTGTGTGTGGTGAGTGTGGTGTGTGTGTGGTGTATGTGTGGTGTATGAGTGTGGTGTGTGTGGTGTATGATTGTGGTGTGTGTGGTGTGTGTGGTGTATGAGTGTGGTGTGTGGTGTGTGTGGTGAGTGTGGAGTGTGTGGTGTATGAGTGTGCGTGTTTGGTGTATGAGTGTGGTGTGTGTGTGGTGTATGAGAGTGGTGTGTGTGTGGTGTATGAGTGTGGTGTGTGTGGTATGTGTGGTGTGTGTGGTGTATGAGTGTGGTGTGTGTGTTTGGTGAATGTGTGGTGTTTGAGNGTGTGTGGTGTATGAGTGTGGTGTGTGTGGTGTGTGTGTGGTGTATGAGTGTGGTGTGTGTGTGGTGTATGAGTGTGGTGTGTGTGGTGTGTGTGTGGTGTATGAGTGTGGTGTGTGTGTGGTGTATGAGTGTGGTGTGTGTGGTGTGTGTGGTGTATGAGTGTGGTGCGTGTGTGGTGTGAGTGTGGTGTGTGGTGTGTGTGATGAGTGTGGTGTGTGTGGTGAGTGTGGTGTGTGTGTGGTGTATGTGTGGTGTGTGTGGTGTATGAGTGGGGTGTGTGTGGTGTGTGAGTGTGGTGCGTGTGTGGTGTATGAGTGTGGTGCGTGTGTGGTGTATGAGTGTGGTGTGTGGTGTGTGTGGTGAGTGTGGAGTGTGTGGTGTATGAGTGTGCGTGTTTGGTGTATGAGTGTGGTGCGTGTGTGGTGTTTGAGTGTGGTGCGTGTGTGGTGTGTGTGGTGTGTGTTGTGTATGAGTGTGGTGTGTGCGGTGTATGAGTGTGGTGTGTGTGTGGTGTATGAGTGTGGTGTGTGTGGTGTGTGTGTGGTGTATGAGTGTGGTGTGTGTGTGGTGTATGAGTGTGGTGTGTGTTGTATGAGTGTGGTGTGTGTGGTGTATGAGTGTGGTGTGTGTGGTGTGTGTGGTGTGTGTGGTGTGTGTGGTGTATGAGTGTGGTGTGTGTGGTGTCTGGTGTATGAGTGTGTGGTGTATGAGTGTGGTGTGTGTGGTGTATGAGTGTGGTGTGTGTGGTGTATGAGTGTGGTGTGTGGTGTGTGTGGTGAGTGTGGAGTGTGTGGTGTATGAGTGTGCGTGTTTGGTGTCGTGTGTGGTGTATGAGTGTGGTCTGTGTGGTGTGTGTGGTGTGTCTGGTGTGTCTGGTGTATGAGTGTGGTGTGTGTGTGGTGTATGAGTGTGGTGCGTGTGTGGTGTATGAGTGTGGTGTGTGTGGTGTATGAGTGTGGTGAGTGTGGTGTGTGTGGTGTATGAGTGTGGTGCGTGTGTGGTGTATGAGTGTGGTGTGTGTGTGGTGTATGAGTGTGGTGTGTGTTGGTGTATGAGTGTGCGTGTTTGGTGTATGAGTGTGGTGCGTGTGTGGTGTATGAGTGTGGTGTGTGGTGTGTGTGGTGAGTGTTGTGTGTGGCGTGTGTGTGGTGTGTGTGGTGTGTGTGGTGTATGAGTGTGGTGTGTGCGGTGTATGAGTGTGGTGGAGTGTGTGGTGTATGAGTGTGCGTGTTTGGTGTATGAGTGTGGTGCGTGTGTGGTGTATGAGTGTGGTGTGTGTGGTATGTGTGGTGTATGTGGTGTATGAGTGTGGTGTGTGTGGTGTGTGGTGTGTGTGTGTGGTGTGTGTGGTGTATGAGTGTGGTGTGTGTGGCGTATGAGTGTGGTGAGTGTGGTGTGTGCGGTGTATGAGTGTGGTGTGTGCGGTGTATGAATGTGGTGTGTGTGTGTGTGTGTTTGGTGCGTGTGTGGTGTACGAGTGTGACATGAGTGTGGTGCACGTCATTTGTGTGGTATATGAATGTGGTGTGAGTGTGGTGTGTGTGTCTGTCTGCTGGAGCGGGGCTGAACTGAAGGGGCGTCAGGGGCTGGCAGCGAGGTTTCTCGGCTGATGCCACCACACCACCTGGAGGTGGAGACATGTTGGATACAACTTCTCACTCTCAACTACTGTTTATCTTAGGACGCAGTTCTTTCAGTTGCTCACGAAGCGGCTTTGGTGACTGGCAACTCCATACCTGCGGTGCCCAAGCCCGTGCCAGCTGTGACCGGCTCTCCTCCAGGGGCTCGGCAGCACTGCAGAGGAGCAGCAGCGTCCACGAGGACAGCGCTCTCAGCACGCAGAGACCCACCAGGGCCCTGGCTGTCTGTGGGCACTCCCGCGTGGGCACAGCTGTCCCGGGAGGTGGGGTGGCGGGCATGGAGTGCGATAAGGTAATGACACGTGCACTGGGACTTATGGAAATCAGAAAGGATGTGAATGACTAGAAGGAAAACCACCAGTGGCACAGAGCTACACAAGTGTGACCCCATTAAATGCCACAACCACCCATCATGACGTTCCCTTTCCTTTTTCCAACCTTCTCCCCTTATGAATGAAGAAACCCACGTTCTGTGGAAAACCCCTGGCTTTTGAGCGGCGGATCCACAAGAAGAACGGACTCTTCCAACTGCACACTCTAGACTCGTCCACCACTCGAACTGCCTCGAGGATACGGAAGAACGTCCAGCGTGGATGCCAGCCAACTGCCCTCCTGCGGGACTGGGCACAGCGGGCTCATGGGGGGGGGGGTCAGCATGGCCCCATAGCAGCACCTGCATGTACTCTTCCCTAAGGAAAGACAGACAAGCACGCCAACAGCCGTGACCGTGGAGGGTGATGACCACAGCCGGCGCCAGCACGGGCTCCCCTCTCTTCTGAAGTCTCTGCCAGGGGCATGCCCCCAGTCCCCAGAGCTCCCGTACCCACCTAGAGGAGAGAGCAGGAGCTCCGTTCCTCAGCATGGACCCCTTTACACTCACAACTAACTACAAGGATGTGAATTCGAAAGAGAACAACTCGCGGTGAAAATGGGAGAGGAGAAAACCCGCCCAGTGCGTTGACCTGAGCAGGAGGGAGATGGCCTGCGGGGGCTGGGGACAGCTGTGGTTCTCCAGGTAATTCAGAAATGAGAGAGCACAGCTGGGGTGGGTGAAGCCCGGCCGGCTGGTGGGGAGACCCCAACGAGGGGCACAGGAAGAGAGCACGTCCAGGAGCCCCTCGTGGTTTCTGGAACGAGGGCCTCGGACACAAGCAGGCCGGGTCTTGGAGCCCCAAGGTCAGCAGGGTCGGGCCAGTGCCCTCTGCACTCCCCTCAGGGACAGGTCAGGTGCATGAGCGTGTCTAAGGCCCAGATGGCCCCATCAGGACAGCCGATTTTTATTCCCCACACAATGCATCTTCCTGACAGCACTGCCCTTTAGGAAATGCTGATCTAGATAAGGGGCGGGTGCGGGGAGGGGGTTACTGGCTTCCATTCCCTACTTTCTTGGGAGAAAATGGGCTTCCCTGCAGGGCTGTGACCCCATTCCCACCAGCTTGCTCACACTTGGAAATTACTATACGTCTACAGAATTCATAAAGCTATGTATCCTCTGCACATATGTCATTGCCTACAGGTCATAAATCACAGTGGGGACACAGGGACGTGCGGGAGCCTGCAGAACCTGCCACTGTCTTCCTGATTCTACCCCAGCTCTCCCAGGCCCCTGGTTCCAGCCGCTGCCACCCTGCTGCATGCATGCCTCGCCTGGGATGGCCACTTCCCTGCACGCCCAGCCTTTCAGCAGCCACTCTCCAGCTCCAGGGGCCTTCCGCAAGCTCTCCTGCCCACGCCTTTCATCCCTGCAGCGGGCCGGTGCAGGGGGGCCACTGAACTGTGCGGGCCGCAGCAGGAATCAGAGTGTGTTTTAGTATTTCGGGGCAGAGGAAATGGTTCTCCAGCTCAGTTCCCCACTGTTTCTTAAAGTGATTATTTTGATTTAAACCGCTGCCTGGCGGCTAGACTTCTAGCTACCGGCTTCAGGTCGTTTGTCCTGAGAGCCAGGAACACAAAGAAACACTGTTTGCTGGTACCCGGGACCTCCTCCAGGAAGGCAAGCGAGGTGGGCTGTGAGCTCTGGCTCCTTCCACAGACAAGCGCTTGTTCCTGGACGAGGAGCTCCAGCGCCAAAGACACTGGCTGCTTCCTGCCAATCACTGTCGCACAGGCTGTGATTTTACCCGAGATCTACCTGCTCTCTGCACAATATCACATTCTCACTGTCTGAAGACAAGAGATGAATGGGGCGGAGGTGCACAATTCAGTCCACAGCAAAGTCTAAAACCCACTGCAGAACAGTCTTAGTTTTAAGATGAGAAGACTGAGGCTGACCTTGCTCAAAGTCATCCAGATGGAGAATGGCAGGCCCCCTGGGTCCCCCCACCCCCAGTCTCCACCACCACATTGGTGGTACCTTGTCCTAAGAGATTCACAGCTAACCCAGTGAATTCACTTGGATAACAAGGCTGCGTTCAGTAATCATTTTCCATAGTCTGTGTGCAGAACAGGAAGATGCGCCCCGGGGTCCTCATGTGCTCCTGTGGGACAGAGCTGGAGGGGGAGGGAGGAATGATTCCTACATTTTCCACATGTGTCCTAATTTAAAGCAGCCATTTCACAGTTTGCAGAAGACTATTGCTAGACAAAGCAACATGCATTCATGGCATAGTTCAAAATTATGAATCCCATCAAAATTAGGGAAAGCTGCAGTGGCCTGCTGGGGCAGGGACAGTTCCTTACCCCCTGTTCTCCCTGGAGGCCAGGAAGCTGCCCTCCCCATCCTGAGGTGCTCAAGGCAGGTGAGGAGGCTTTCTCCATCCAGTGACACGAGAACACTGTGAAAGCCCCTGGACCTGCCCTCCATCCCACCTTACAGCATCCAGTCTGGGCAGCCAGGGTCAGAGCAATAAGCCAGTGCTTCGAGGCCACCCGTTCCCCCAAATCTGAGGCCCCCAGGTGGACTCACTGGGTGAGTCCCAGGCCAGGGAATGTCACAGAGACACGCCCCCTGGCAAACCATCACCATCTAATTCCTACTCAAAACTCACCCACTTGGGGCCGGCCCGTGACTCACTCGGGAGAGTGTGGTGCTGATAACACCAAGGCCACGGGTTCGGATCCTATATAGGGATGGCCGGTTTGCTCACTGGGTGAGTGCGGTGCTGACAACACCAAGGCCACGGGTTCAGATCCCATATAGGGATGGCCGGTTTGCTCACTGACTGAGCGTGGTGCTGACAACACCAAGTCAAGGGTTAAGATCCCCTTACTGGTCATCTTTAAAAAAAAAAAAACTCACCCACTTGACGAACATGTGGAACCAAGCTCGGCAGCTCCGGGGGATTCCTGACCAGTGCCCTTTGAGCCTAACCTCCACCCTCACACACACCCATACCATGCGGTTTGCACCAAAGCATGGTTTTAACCAACTCTACTGGGGTATAATTTACACACACACCCATTTTAGGTGGATGTTATGATGAGTTTTGGCGAACGTACACACAAATGCAATCACCACCACACTCCCCTGAGAAGCAATTGGCAGGACAAATGGCACAGATGGCAGGGAGGGGTCCACAGAGAGGCCGCCACCCCTGAAGACACCTCCGGGCTGGGCTGTCATGCCAATATCCCACCAGTGTCGTCGGGAGAGGGGCCCAGAGGGCCTGCTGCTCTCTACCTGCACGACCGTGAGAAGTTCAGCCGCAGTGTCCTCGCCTCAGGACAAAGACTGTTGCACCCTGGGTTCTAGACTTTGCTGTGCACTGAATTGTGTCTCCCCGAAATATGTTGGAGCCCAAACCCCATGTGACTATATGTGGAACTGGGGTCTACAAGGAGGTAATAAAGGTTAAACGAGGTCACACGGGGGCTGTACTCTGACAGGACCGGTATCCTGTATGAGGGGGAGAGACAGCAGGGCTCCCTCCCCTCTCTTCTTCACGTGAGGATTCAGAGAGAAGGTGGCCATCTGCAAACCAAGAGGAGAGTCCTCACCAGGAACTGTCTGCCAGCACCTTGATCTTGGTCTTCTCCACCTCCAGAACTATAACAAATAATGTCTGTGTGGTTGGAGCCACCCAGCCTGTGGCACTTTGTTATGGCAGCCCAAGCCAACCGAGACAGACTTTGTCGCAGAGAATCGGAAGGCTCTCCCAGGTGCCCTCTGCCATGATCCCCAGGCCTCCTTTGAATTCAGGAGTTCTGGAGAACACCCTTGAAAAGCTACTGTCCTGGAGAATATCTTTCCATTTACCACTCCCTTGCCTTCTATGGAGGATGGGAACCAAATATCAATGACTTCTGGAGCAGAACTGGGCCTCCAGAAATTATTTGTAAAAATGCATAAAGATATGTTGATGAAAGTGCCTTTCAGGTACCAGGATAAGCACAGGGCACAGAGTGGAGACCCCATGGAGCAGAGCTGTGGACATCCAAGCAGGAGAGCAGCTCGTGCAAAGGCCCAGAGACACAAATGGCATGGGGGTGTGGTGGGGTGGGGGACAGGGAGGGAGGAAGGTGACTCCAGGGAGGGAGTCTGGGCTCAAAGTGGGTGCGACCCCATACTTCCCAAAGGCATAATTCCACAGAGGAATGAGAGGAGACACAGGGGTCAGCATGCACCAGCTCTGCAGCAGCAGGGACTGTCCAGGAAACAGACAGAGCCACTGAGGGGCCTGCCCCACCCAGAGGCATACCTGACCCCCAGGGAGGCCACCTGGATCCCTCTTAGTTCCAGAGGGCACTGTGGCTTCACACCTATGCTAACGACCACAGGCCCAGTTCACATCTCTCTGACCTCCAGAGATGGTCCTTTGAGGAAAACATCTATTGCCAAGTCCTTAAATGTCCCCTTGTTCCTCTACACAACATACCAAAAAATGGAAGGAAGGCTACACTTGCCCACCGCACAGAAGTACAAACACTCCCCCTGGAAGGGCTCCCAAACCCCACCCCCTACTTTCCACGTAGGGAGACTCAAGGACTCCAAGGAGACAGTGTGGGGTCAGCGTACGTGGCAACAACTTCAGTCCTTCCCGGTAAGTCTGGACGGACAGGCCCAACTACATGCCAGGGCAGTTCTCCTGCAGGACTGTTCTCATTTCTGCAGCTAGCCTGCCAGGCTGGGAGTGGGGGCTCAGGCACATGACAGACCCCGCTCCCCCGTCCCGGGGATGCTGGTGGGCAGGAAGACATCCCTCACGTCTCCATGGCCACCAAACATTACACTCCCCAGAGCCCAAGTTCCGCTTGGCTGGGCTGAGTCTGCCTTTGATGTTGGGAGAACCGCCCATGCAGACTTCCCAGGACGGGAAGGATGGGCTTCAACTGCCTTGAAA